TGTGGATGTGGGGTTTATGGGGGCACATGTGTGTGAGAATGGGTGTGCATGTGTGTATCTGTGTGTGGATATGGGGTGTGTCTGTGTGTGCATGTGTATCTGTGTGGACGTGAGGTGTGTCTGTGTGCGGGGATGTGGGGTGTGTCTCTGGGTGTGTGGATGTGTGTGGATGTGGAGTGTGTGAGTGTACATGTGTGTCTGGATGTGGGGTGTGTGTGGGGGTGCATGTGTGAGGATGGGTGTGTGCATGTGTCTGTGTGTGGGTGTGGGGTGCGTGTGCCTGTGTGTATGTGTGGATGTGGGGTGTGTCTGTGTGTGTGTGCATGTGTATCTGTGTGGATGTGGGGAGCGAGTGTATGTGGGTGTGTAGGAATGAGTGTGGGTGTGTGGGGGCACATGTGTGTGAGAATGGGTGTGCATGTGTGTATCTGTGTGGATTTGGGGTATGCGTGTGTGGATGTGGGGTGTGTGAGTGTGTACGTGTGTGGCTGTGGGATGTATGGGGATGCATGTGAGGATGGGTGTGTGCATGTGTCTGTGTGTGGATGTGGGGTGTGTGTGCACATGTGTGTCTGTGGATGTGGGATGTGTGGGGGTGCATGTGTGAGGATGGGTGTGTGCATGTGTCTGGGTGTGGGTGTGGGGTGTGTGTGCCTGTGTGTCTGTATGTGTGGATGTGGGATGTGTCTGTGTGTGTATGCATGTGTATCTGTGGATATGGGGAGTGTGAGTGTAAGTGAGTGTGTAGGAATGAGTGTGGGTGTGTGCATGTGATGTCTGTATGTGTATGTTTAGCAACAGGTATTTTTAATGAAATATTGTTCAGAACAAATATTAAAAACCTATTAAAGATTTCGTGGGATTGAGGACCAGAGCCCCCTCTTGGAGTCTCCCCTCCCCCACCCCCTAACTTTGTGCCCCAATGTCCTTGACTGCAAGGTGAGAGCCCCTGGTGGGAGCTATGACCCCACACCTGCCCTGGGCACCATGGTGTGGCCCATTTGACGTTCTCAGGGTCTCTGCATCGCCTCATTGGTATCTGTGGTAAACACGGGAACGCTGTTGACCTCTGCTTGGGATGAGGTTTGGCAGAGAACGTTCAAGCCCGCGCACAGCCTTCTGGGTGGCTTGGGAGGAGAAGTGGGTGGGCCCAGGCACAGGGTGACCCCAACTCCCTGCCTCCCGCAGCTCTGTGTGCACGACAACTACAGAAACAACCCCTTCCACAACTTCCGGCACTGCTTCTGCGTGGCCCAGATGATGTACAGCATGGTCTGGCTCTGCGGTCTCCAGGTGGGTCCTGCCCGCCGCACACCCAGACCTCCACTCTCTGGGTCAGGTGGAGGCTCCTTCCGGGGAGCGGCAGCCCCCTCCCATCGAGAATGCCACAGGCATGGGGTCCTCAGCTGCTCCGCCCCTCCTAGGAAAGCACCCCTACCCATCAGTCTCCCCATGGGAGAGGCCGCTGCTAGGATTACATGAGCAAGTGTGCCCCAACCTGGTCACCCCTCCACACCGCAGGCAGGCCAGTCCTCTCCTACCACGCCGGGAGACTCCACATGGCTGCAGGGGCTTTGTCCCCTCTCCCACCTCATCACTCACCCAGTTCCACTCCCCTCACCCATCCCACTCTCCAAGTGAAGAGGGCAAACACCTATGCCCTGCTTTCCAATCCAGGAGAAGTTTTCCCAAACGGATATCCTGATCCTAATGACAGCGGCCATCTGCCACGATCTGGACCATCCCGGCTACAACAACACGTATGTACAGGGTTTTCTCTTTTTTTCCTTGTAAAAGGCACCCTCGCTACCAGAGGGAACCTATCAGCCCAACCCTCAGAGCAGTTCCCAGATGGAGCTGTCAATGGCAGCCTCCCAGCCCCAGCTCTGCCTCCACCGACACAGTTCCAGCTTCTGGACTTTGCCCGGGGCCTTGGGTCTCCCCAGAGCGGGAACCGTCAGGATTATCAGACCCCAGCCTTTCCCAGCTCTGTGCGTGCCTGGCTCCAGGCTCAGGTGCACGGCAGAGCTCTGACTGCGCCAGCGCCTTCTCCACCCCAGGCAGAAAGCAACACTGCTGTGTACGCAGGGATGGGGGCTCCGCACGCCCCTCTCAGGAACTCGCCCCTCCCTGGACAGACTCCCAGCTGGCATCTGCAGAGAAGGCAGAGAGCAGGGGCCAGAAGAGAGTGAGAAAAGAGACTGCAGAGGGACAGGAGGTGGGAGTGAGGTGTCCCTCATGGGGCGAGGGTACCTGAGCCTCCCCTCACGCTCCCCTCGCCTCCCAGGTACCAGATCAACGCCCGCACAGAGCTGGCAGTCCGCTACAATGACATCTCGCCGCTGGAGAACCACCACTGCGCCGTGGCCTTCCAGATCCTCGCCCAGCCCGAGTGCAACATCTTCTCCAGCGTCCCCCCCGATGGCTTCAAGCAGATCCGACAGGTGTGTTGGGCGAGGGCCTCCGACCGGAGAGGGGCGCATTCGTGGTGGGGGCAGAGCAGCCCCACTCTCCAGTGAATAGAGGCTCCCAGAAGCTCCTGGCCACAGCAGTGCCCTGGGGACCCAGGGGAACCCCTCTCTCCTTCCTCACCTCCAGGCCCCAGAGTGGTGCCCAAAAAAAGAGGGTACCCTCGCCATGCGCACATGTATCCCACTGACCCACACTTCCCAGCTTCTATTTAATTCAGCCTCCACTGGCCCCTTTGAGATAAACCCTTTGTCCATCTTCCAGACCAGGAAACTGAGACTTAGCGAAGGTACGTAGCTGACCAAGGAGGGGCCAGGCCCCAGACAGACACGTCTACTGCATCCAACATAGGAAAGCTGCCCACTGCCCCATAACCCCAGGTGCTGTCACCTGCCACCCACGGCCCGGTCAGCCCCCTCCCTTTTTTTTTTTTTTTTTTTTTTTTTTTTTTTTTTTTTTTTTTTTTTTTTTTCCCCCTTTTTTTTTTTTTTTTTTTTTTTTTTTTTTTTTTTTTTTTTTTGAGACAGAGTCTCTATTGCCCAGGCTGGAGTGCAGTGGTGCAATCTTGGCCCACTGCAACCTCCATCTCCCAGGTTCAAGCAGTTCTCCTGCCTCAGCCTCCTGAGCAGCTGGGATTACAGGTGTGCACCACCACACCTGGCTAATTTTCAGTATTTTGTTGTTGTGGTTTAGTTTTGTTTTTTTGAGACAGTCTTGCTCTGTCACCCAGGCTGGAGTACAGTGGCACAATCTCATCTTGGTTCGCTGCAACCTCCGCCTCCCGGGTTCAAGCAGTTCTCCTGCCTCAGCCTCCTGGGATTACAGGCACACACCACCACACCCAGCTAATTTTTGTATTTTTAGTAGAGACAGGGTTTTACCATGTTGGCCAGGATGGTCTCAAACTCCTGACCTCAGGTGATCCACCTGCCTCGGCCTCCCAATGTGCTGGGATTACAGGCGTGAGCCACTGCACCTGGCCACCTCTTCCATTTTAGATAAGAGGGCTTTCTGCCTCTGGAGGGGATGGTGCAGGGAGAATGAGGACATCTGCAGGAGAGGAAGGTGATCCGGTCCACCTGCCCCGGACAAACCCTTCCGGCTCACCGGAATCACGCCCCTTTCCACACGGGAATCCTCATCAAACCCTCACTCCCTGACATCTGCAGGGGAGGGAATAATCTCTCGGAGTGACCTCTGGGAGAAATGCAGTGCTTTGAATAGCAGCGTCCTTCAAACAAGGTCCCCCTCCGGTGAACATGACCTTATTTGGAAAAAGCGTCTGTGCATTTGTACTTGTTAAGATCCCCAGATAAGACGGGTGTAGCTTGCCCAAGGGGGCCTCAAATCCAAAGATGAGTGTCCTTGGAAGAGACAGAAGAAAAAATGGCCCAGACACAGGGAGAAGGCCATGTGAAGAGGCAGTGAGTGGCGGCTGGAGTGACGCAGCCCCAAAGCAAGGGACTCCTGGGGCCCCTAGGAGCAGGAGGAAACAAGGAAGGACCTCCCCACCCCGGAGCCTTTGGAGAGAGCAGGCCCTGCCCGCACCTGGATCTTAGTTCTGGCCTCCAGCACCATGAGAGAATGAGTTGTTGTTGTAAGCTGCCTGGTTTGTGGCACTTGGTGTGGCGGCCCCAGGACACTCGCCCGTCTTCTGCTGTTCCACCAGGCAGACCTCAGCCATTGGAAGTCTAAATGGCCTCCTTCCAGAGGCAGCTGACAAAGGCTGTCTGGACTCCAGCGCTCCCGAGAGCTGCTGAGCCTCCCTTTATCAGACAGCAGCAGCCTCCTCGACCACGGCTCTCTCATTTGTCTACGCCTCCAGGAAGTTCAAAGCTCAATGTAAAAAACTGAAGTCAGTGAAACATTTGAGGAAGTTCCGAGGAAGCAGCATGCCCCCTGGGACAGGCCCGAGGCATCATGGCCTCCTGTGAAATTGTTAAATGTCGCCATGTCCCAAAGGCAGAGCTGGCAGAACCAGGCCGAAGGTCCCTGGGATGCTGAGGTCCAAGCCTCTGCTGGCCTGTGCTGTGCCGGCCGCTGTGAGCGTGAAAGGAGAGAAGGGAACATTTCCATCTACCCATCCATCCATCCACGTGCACGGTGTGCACGGTGACGGCCTGGGAGGAGCACTACAGCTGCACCTCGGAACCCACTAGGTGCCGACGCACAGCCGTTGGGCTCATGGGCCTGTGATGACATCATCGCACAAACACACACAATTCAACAGAGACAATTTGCAGTCATTACTGAATCACCGGTTCCAGTACAGTTATATCCTCCTTATCTACAGGCTCTCTGGCCTCTCATCCAAGCTCGCCCCTCCACACCCTGCAAGCAGGTGCCCTGTGTGGCTACAATAAGACATGGTGAATCTTCGTCTGCAGTAGGTAAAGGGGCAGCCGGGAAGAGAGAACACTGTGTCTGCCTCTGCTACCCCAGTGGGGAGCTCCTACAGGGACAGAACCTGGGGAATCAAAGCAAGTGAGCACCCCTTAGTGTAGGCCTTGTCCCACCGCGCCATGTCGGAGAGCATCCCACGAGAGAAGGAGGTGGCACCTGACTGGAGGAGCAGCCACTCTGCACGTGGGATCGTCCTCATACCCAGCCACCATGGGGACACACCAGCATTGTCCTGCTTCACATGCTTCACTGACTTCAAAATATGACTCTCCTCTAGGGATAAAATTAGTTTTACCAATTTTTTTAAAATATATTTTGTCATGGAAGATTTCAGGAATAAATGCTTCACTAATAACACAATTAAATGTTTACAGGAAAATTGAATAATTCAAGATACATGTGATGCCCCCTAAATATACATTTGAAATGACCTAGTTTGATGGGTTTGGGTTTTGTATCTGATGCTTATGGTTTTATTTTCTTGAAAGAAGAAAATATACCTGGCACAGAGATGGGTTCTGTAATGCCTGTGGGATGGATGAGTGGGTGCATGGATGGATGAGTGGGCACATGGATGGATAAGTGGGCGCATGGATGGATGATGGATAGATACATGGGCGAATGGATAGGTGGATTGATGGATGGAGAAATGAATGGATGGATAAATGGAAGAAAGGAAGGATGGACAAATGGATGGACAAAGATGGTAGGATGGATGGGTGGATGAATGGAAGGACAGATGGGTGGATGGATGGATGGATAAATGAATGGATGGATGGAAGGAGGGATGGATTGATGCATGGATAGATGGATTGATGGATGGAAGGATGGATGGAAGGATGGATGGGTAGATGAATGGATGGGTGGATGAATGGATGGATGGATAAATGGATAGAAAGAAGTATGGATGGATGGATGGGTAGATGGATGGATGGAGGATGAATGGGTGAGTGGGTGGATGGATGGGTTTTGGGTGGGTGGATGGATGTGTGGACAAATGAATAGAGGGGTGATGGATGCACATATGAACCAGAATGAGGGACATATGAAATAATGTGTACACAGGAGGCACCTGTTGAACAGCTGTTGGGATGTGCCCTGTGTTAACACTGTGCTCTCTCACTATTCAGGGAATGATCACGTTAATCTTGGCCACTGACATGGCAAGGCACGCAGAAATTATGGATTCCTTCAAAGAGAAAATGGAGAATTTTGACTACAGCAATGAGGAGCACATGACCCTGGTGAGTGGGCTTGTTCTGCCTGGGTGGGCAGCCAAGCAGTGGGCTGGTTGAATGGGTCATCCATCCAGCTCACACTGGAAGCCAAGAAGCCGAAATTCTTAGTCTTGCCTTGGAACAAGGTGTCTATATATCTGGTTTTTGAGGTCGTGGCTCTTACTAGGAAAGCCCAGGGCAGGGCCTCCCTCCTGACGGAGCCTCCTTCATGGTCAGAGGGGCACTCTTCCATTCCTCCATCTCTTTTGTATTTGGAGGAAGATGCATGGGTGAAGGCCACGCATCTTTCTCTGTTTTCCAGAGAATAAAACCAGCTCTCCCATGAAGGCACAGCCCCAGCATGCTACCCTGAAAGCCCACCTCTGTGAGGGCAACTCCGACCCAGCTCCTGCTCCCCAAGCCAGCATCCCCACCAAGCATCACCCATCCATCCCACACCATAGCCCAGCACCCCTCTAAAACCAGGAAAAGGTGGCCAGAGAAGGGGCAGGGGGCCTCACCCATGAGAAGGGGCACCTAGGTTGCCCAGTGTCTGCCTTTTAGAAAGGGCAGGCCCCGGTCATTTGTGCCTGGTGCAGGTGGGACTGAGGGATGCCAGCCCTCCACAGCCTGTCATATAGCGACCGTTGGCCTAGTTCACGTGGAAATTGCTGCACCCCAGGGCCTGCCCTGTCTCCTCCTGAAGAACCCATGGTGTGCCGAACCCTGGCCAAGCTTGGAGGGAGCTCCCGTCCCCTGGGAAGATGAGCAATGCACCCACCTGGGGACCAGCAGAAAATAGGGGGTGACCAGGCATGGGGAAGTGCTTCAGGGGGCATCACCTGGGCTGGGGTGTTCAGAAAGGCTGGAAGGAGGGGACTCACACAGGACCTTGAAGGTTTGTTCTCCATTGGAGGAGGGAGCCTGTCCTCCCGAAGTCAGCCAAGCTCAGTCGCCTGGTCCAGCTTCATGGTCCTCAGTCTCTTCCTGCGGTAATGGCAAGTCCAGAGCTAAGCAGCAGCAGCAGGCCGTGTGCTACCTTCTGTTACCTAAATTCCAGAACCTCTTCTTTCAGCTGAAGATGATTTTGATAAAATGCTGTGATATCTCTAATGAGGTCCGGCCAATGGAAGTTGCAGAGCCTTGGGTGGACTGCTTATTAGAGGAATATTTTATGCAGGTAAGAGTCTTGCAGAGCAGTCAAGCCTCCAGCCACTCTTACCAGCCCAGGTAGCAAGGGTTCACGTTCAGCAGAGCACGCCAGGGTGGACCATCCACAGGTCAGCCTCCAGAAAGCCTTCACGGCACGCATACATCAGAAATGAAATCGGTTATAATTTGAGACCTGAAAGATGGTGACAACCCAGAAAAGCTAATGTGAAACTGCCACCTGTCACTGCTCATTGAGCCACTCTTAGAGGCAGGCTTGTTGAGCAAATCGCCTGAAAGTCAAGAAACAAGAACTACAGAGGCAGGAGAGAGCCCTGGGAGGACGGACCAGTAGGTCAGCTTACACAGATGGCCATGGGAAAGTCAGGGACAGAGAAACCAGGCCAGCCGAAAACAACCGCCACATATTAATACCACAGCTTGATCAACCCCGGGAGACCTCGGGAGGGTTTCCGCAGACGCTTCTGCAGTCCTGGGATACACCCAGCTCGCCTCTGCCTGTCCCTAAGCTCGGTCTTCCCACCAGACCTGTCCGCCCAGCTCTGTTTAGCGCTGGAGATGCTGCCGCCTTCTCCGTACTCTTACTGACGCACATTTGTGTGTGGCTGGGTTGGTCGCTGGTTAAGTGGCTCATCTTGTCTTTCTCTAAGAACGGTGATCTGGTTCCGGGCGTGTCTGTCTTTAATGTCGCTGTCTACTTCATTCCCTGCAGAGCGATCGCGAGAAGTCAGAAGGCCTCCCCGTCGCCCCGTTCATGGACCGAGACAAAGTGACCAAGGCTACAGCCCAGATTGGGTTCATCAAGTTCGTCCTGATCCCAATGTTTGAAACAGTGACCAAGGTGAGCGACTGTCACCACATGCCACATATGCATGCACTCAGATACATGGGCACACACATGCATGCACACACACACACACACAGGCACACATATACATGAACACAGGTACACACACATGCACACACAGGTGTGCACATACAGGGACACAGGCACACATGCACGTAGGGATGCAGGCACACATGCACACATGCAGGTATACACGTGCACATACATGCACACAGGTGCACACAGGCATGCACACACAGGCACACATGTACATAGGCACACAGGTACACACATGCACACAGGTACACACATGCACATACCCCGGTATACACACATACACAGGCACACATACAGGTAAACACAGGCACACACTCAGGTACACACAGGCACACATGCAGGCACACACAGGTACAATACATACAGGCACACACACACTAACACATAGGTACACACAGGCACACACTTGCACACACACAGGCACACACACACCAACACATAGGTACACACAGGCACACACTTGCACACACACATGCACACACAGGTGTACACAGACACACATGAACACACAGGTACACACATGCACACACATGCACACACACAGGTACACACAGGCTCACACATGCACACACACACAGGCACACAGGTACAAGGCATACAGGCACACACACCAACACACATGCAGACACACAGGTATACACAGGCACACACATGCAGACACACAGGTACACACCGGCACACACATGCACACACAGGTACACACTGGCACACACATGCACACACATAGGTACACACAGGCACATACATGCACACACACACAGGTACACACCGGCACACATGTGCACACACGGGTTTACACAGGCACACACATGAATACACACAGGTACACACCGGCACGCACATGCACACACACAGGTACACACCAGCACACACATGCACACACACAGGTACAGGCACATGCACACCGGCACACACATGCACACACACAGGTACACACAGGCACACACATGCACACACACAGGTACAGGCACACATATGCACATATACATGCACACAGGCACACCTGCGCATCCTGAGCAGCCTCTTCCCCAGCTGTCGTGGTGGCCACTGTCCCTGCCATCTACAGCCTGGCCGGTGACCCCGGCATCTTCCACTCTGTGCTGCCCTCCCTGCCTTGCCTCGCTGGGCCATGGGGGGCCCCTCAGTGCCCTTGTCCTTCACTACTGGCCTTTAGGACCCTTGAGGCAGCACCGGCTGTTGACTCTCCTGCTCCCTGCTCTGCGCCCCTGTTCAGCCTAGTCTGCACCTGTGGAGGAACCACTGTGAAGCCCCTGTCCAGGTCCCAGTCTCCACCGTACCCAGCCCCCGAGACCATGCTCGCTGCACACAGCTTGTTCCTGCCCAGCTCCTCACAGGGCCCCTGCCAAGGCCCCACCTCAAGGCACCCCCAGCATGTGCAAAACAGGTCCATCTTGTTTCCCCCGCTTCGCCCTACTGAGCCGTGGCCAGATCTGGGCTCCCAGCCTCGCACCCTCCCCTTCCCAAGCTCCGGTGTGCTCCAGGGCAGTTCTGCCCGCTCCCACCCTCTTCCTGCTCCCAGCCAGGAGGCCTGTCACCTCCTTTCCCCTGCCCTGTGTCTTTGCAAGAACCTCCCAACCTGTGCCCCCCACCCTCATCTCACGGGGGCAGGGGACACAAGACGCAGGGAGGGGACTTTCTGTAGGACTTCATGGAGGGTGAGGAGGGCCAGAGACAGAGCCACAGCACGGCGGGAACAGCCAAGCCAGCACGCGGGTTTCCAGAAGTTGGGACTGGCCCAGAGGCTTCTGTGCAGTGCACTGACACCTGTTTTTCTCTGACGTTCCCGTGGCCTTAAGAACAGGGACTCTGAATGAATCCCTTGTCTTCCACAGCTCTTCCCCATGGTTGAGGAAATCATGCTGCAGCCACTTTGGGAATCCCGAGATCGCTACGAGGAACTGAAGCGGATAGACGACGCCATGAAAGAGGTAAAACGCACGTTGAGCAGCGCCTTCCCTGTGGCAAGCAGGCACGCTGCCCTCCGCACTCCTGACTCCAGAATTTCGGATGTGCCAAGCAGGGCACTGCTGAAGGTGGCCCCATGGGCAGGAGCACATGTCCCTTCCACGAAAAAGCCTGGCTCAGTAAGATTAGGGAATGTGATCAGAGAACCAAAACTGCATTGACCGAGGGCGCATCAGGGCTCGGTGCCCTCCAGGGAGTTGACTGGCCATGCCCTTCACAAGAATCACACCATTACCCACCCCTGTGGGCACCCAGGTGTCCTTGGGTGTATCGGCCATTGTGAGAGCATCTTGGACCCCTCTGAGCACAGTGCCTGGCCCGTCCTGGCCCCAGGACTGACTTGTTCAGAGGAGACCATGGGGTAGAAAGGGGCCCTGCCCTGGCACAGGGACAAAGTGACCACCACCTGCCAGCTCCTGGGCCCAGAACATACATCACCAGCACCTCTCAGGGGCCAGGGAGCCTGGGGCTGGCTTTAGGTTGCTGTTGGATTGATATTGTTTTGGAGGAAGGGGTCAAGGTCAGGGGCTCAGGGCCCATGCAGTCTTTCCACGGATTGCCCCAGCCTTCTGCTGTCCAGCTGCCCATGATGTGGCCCCTGCCCCGCCCACCCCTGCCTCCTCCCTCCAGCGCCCCCAGGCAGCTAGAACAGTGTCACTGCTCCTGCAGGGTTTGACCTCCTGGCCTTGGCCGGTGTTGCCTCCGCCACCCCCACTCCCCACAGTGCCCTCTGTGCCATTGAAGCACTCTCCATAGCTCGTCAGTCAGGGCTCCCTAGTTCCTGTGCCCACCACCCCATCTTTTTTGCCTGGGTGCTCCTGAAGCCCATGTGGCCCACAACGCCCTGTTGAGTGCTGAGCCATTTCAGGCCTAGCCTTGTGCTAGACTCCTCTCCCTCCACTGACGGCCCCGAGCTCCCCATGCCCACCCCTCCTGGGGTGCCAGGCCAGGCACGTGGGAGATGCTCAGCAATTGCTTAGGAAAACCCAGACCAGCTGCCCTGACTTCTCTAGCTAGAGTCTCCTACTGGAAATCCACAGAAAGGTCTCTAAACCTCTGGAAAGCTGAGAGCAGTTATGCAGAGGGGCAGATGTAGCAAGAAGGCGTCCCCCACTCCAGACTCCCGCAGGAGGGCTGAAGGGGCTCCTGCCTCTCTCGTGGGCCCTTCGAAAGCCATAGCCGTGAGGCCTTGAGTCTCCAGTCCTGAGCCCCAACGCTCAGTCGGGGATACCAGTCCCTGCAGCTCTGGTGGCTGCAGCCGGGTGAGCTCCCTGTCCAGGCCCCAGATGAGGCACCAGAAGTAGTGGGACAGGGCTCACAGAGCTGCTTCTGAAGAGCCCGTGTCGGGAGTGCCTGGACGCACGGGCTGGAGACCGCAGGCCTTCACACAGCAGCATCTCCAGGCAACAGGAGCTGCTGGAAGAGAGGCAGACACTCCCCCGCTGTCTCCTGCCCCTGACTTGTCCTTTTCTGCACTCTGTTCCAGTTACAGAAGAAGACTGACAGCTTGACGTCTGGGGCCACTGAGAAGTCCATAGAGAGAAGCAGAGATGTGAAAAGCAGTGAAGGTAAGCCCGCCTTGCTGAAGCGGCATCTCAGCGTAAACGATCCTTCCCGTGCAGGACAGAAGGAAAGAGGAGAGGGAGAAAAGCCAAATTTTGGAATATCTTTAAATGAATGGAACTTTTATTCCTTGCATCCTATCATTAGAATTAGGCTCTGATGGCCGGTGGTTCACACCTTGTAAGCCCAGAACTTTGGGAGGCCAAGGTAGGCAGATCACTTGAGGTCAGGAGTTCAAGACCCAGCATGGCCAGCACGGTAAAACCCCGTCTCTACTAAAAATACAACAATTAACTGGGTGTGGTAGTGTGCACGTGTAATGGCAGCTCTGGAGGCTGAGGCAGAAGAATCACTTGAACCTGGCGGAGGGAGGTTGCAGTGAGCCGAGATTGTGCCACTGCACTCCAGCCTGGGCAGCAGCGAGACTCCATCTCAAAAGAATAAAAAGAGAGACTCTTAAAGAGGGGGAACATGCTTTAGTTAATAGAAAAACATCAATAATTAGCATATGCATCACTTATAAGAGTAAGCACTTTTTAAAAGTGCGATTGAAGTACTGAAAACTTTTCAAAAATCGCGTATTCGCTTTATACGGCTTTGAGCAGTTTCCTCTGCCCTTGTTGACCCTGGTCATTCAGCTGACAGGGAATCAGAGCAGACCTCTGCTCACCTCGTAAAAAGGCCACACTGTGCATGCCTAACAGATAATTCAAGAGATACTCAGTTCAGCAAGCATCACGGCTCAGGGCGGGCCACACCAGACATGGCTTATGAGAGGAGCAGCCACAGGCTTTGGCGTCCGGCACAGCTGGGCTTGAGTCCAGGCTTGCCAGTGACAAGCCGAGAGACGAGCACAGGTGTCTCGACCTCTCTGAACCCCAGAGCCCCCATCTCTAACCCGAGGCAGTGCTCCCACTGTCACTGCTTTTCTGGCGATTCAGCGGTCAAAGCACTAGTCATGGGAAGTGCTCAGTAAATGTTGGCATTTAATTTTTAAGTCAGTTCATATTTTTCAGTGGCTTAAAAGAGGGATCAATATTGTTTTATTTTACCTCAATGTGTTCAGCAGTATGTCTGATGGCCTCGTTCTTTTACAATGCTCTGTGTGTCGGCCGGCTGCGGTGGCTCACGCCTGTACTCCCAGCACTTTGGGAGGCTGAGGCAGGCAGATCACTTGAGGTCAGGAGTTCAAAACCAGCCTGGCTAACATGGTGAAACCCCATCGCTACTAAAAACACAAAAATTACCCAGGTGTGGTGGTGTGCACCTGTAATCCCAGCTACTCGGGAGCCAGAGGCAGGAGAATTGCAGTGAGCCAAGATTGTGCCACTGCACTCCAACCTGGGCAACAGAGCAAGACTTCGCCTCAAAAAAATAATAATGGTCTGTGTGTGATCCTGTGACGTTTGTGAGGCTGCTGGCACTTTTTGTTATTGTTGTTTTGTTTTTTCTTTTGAAATACAGTCTCGCTCTGTCAACCAGGCTGGAGTGCAGTGGTGCAATCTCGGCTCTCTACAACCTCCGCCTCCCAGCTTCAAGCAATTCTTCTTCCTCGACCTCCTGAGTAGCTGGGATTACAGCCACGTGCCACCACGCCCAGCTAATTTTTGTATTTTTAGTAGAGACGAGGTGTCACCATTTTAGTCAAGCTGGTCTTGAACTCCAGACCTTGTGATCCGCCCACCTCAGCCTCCCAAAGTGCCGGGATTACAGGCGTGAGCCACTGCAACCTAACCCTAACAAAATTAAATCAGTCACCATTTTCCTTCTTCCAGGAGACTGTACCTGAGGAAAGTGGGAACCGTGGCCACGGTTCTGGACACGCTGACGGAGCCACGCAGGATCCTTGCACAGGGAGGAGCTGCCCGGGGCACCTGGCACCACACAACCACGTTTTCTAAGAACCATTTTGTTCACTGATACAAAAAAAAGGAATTCATGACGCTGTACAGAATTTTATTTTTAAACTGTCTTTTAAATAATATATTCTTCTATGGAAAGGGGTACTGGACTTCTTCTTTGGTAGAGTTGTGTACGAAGGCTGCTTCCAGTAAGTTCTCTCGTGGAGACGAAGGACACTGTGCTTTTTCCCAGGTGTATCTTAGAGCAATTGACCAGTGTGACATGGTGCGTACGTCCCTGTAAATACAGCATTAAATGTCAGAACGGTGCCCTGAGTGCAAGGACGTGCATGGGTCCTGTGTTTCTGAGCAGAGGGGAACGTCAGTGCTATGTGCAGGGCACCTGGGGACTGAGGCAGGTTGGCCAGACTGCAGGCCATGTGTGTGGGAGCAAATGCACACGTGACCACAGGGCGACACTCACTGGGCGCACATGCCCAGGAAGGTTGGTGACTTCACATTTAAATCTTCAGACGAGGAAAAGAGACACATATATTCAGCCCATTTGAGGGCCTCTGTCTTGGGAGGAGGGATGGCCTTCCCTTCCCGCCTTTGTTTTTGTTTTTGAGAAAGAGTTTTCACTCTTGTTGCCAAGGCTGGAGTGCAATGGCAGGATCTTGGCCAACCACAGCCTCCACCTCCTGGGTTCAAGCAATTCTCCTGCCTCAGCCTCCCAAGTAGCTGGGATTACAGGCATGCGCCACCACACCCCACTAATTTTGTATTTCTAGTAGAGATGGGGTTTCACCATGATGGCCAGGCTGGCCTCAAACTCCCAACCTCAGGTGATCCTCCTGCCTCGACCTCCTAAAGTGCTGGGATTACAGGTATGAGCCACTGCACCCGGCCCCTTCCTGCCTCTGTTTCGGTAATAAGCACAGGGGACATTCTGGGTGGTGCTGTGTCCACACAGGGGACCCAGTCCCCAGCTTGTCCATAGTCCAGTTCTTGCTGCTGCTGGGACAGTTACCCACCTGAGCTCTCAGTGCGACTGCCTGCGTGCGGCGGACTCTGGAGACCCGATCTTATGAAATGCAAGGAAGAGCTGCTGGATGTGTCCCTGGGCTGCAGGCTTGTCTCCACACCAGCCCTCGAGGGGCAGCATCCCGCAGCGCTCATCCGTAAAGGCCATTTGCGTGGCCTGCGCTTTGTAAACATTTTATTTCTGGGTTGGGGCACTTTGCTCGGAGCATTTGTTCCCTCTTGTTGAATTCCAGAATATTACTTCCCACCTTCAAATAATTCATTTTTTTACCTGTAAAAATAGCCATCTTGGGCCAAGTACAGTGGCTCACGCCTGTAATTCCAGCACTTTGGGAGGCCAAGGCGGGCAGATCACAAGGTCAGGAGATCGAGACCATCCTGTGCAACATGGTGAAACCCCATCTCTACTAAAACTACAAAAAATTAGCCAGGGATGCGCGCCTGTGGTCCCAGCTACTTGGAGGCTGAGGCAGGGGAATCGCTTGAACCTGGGAGGTGGAGGTTGCAGTGAGCTGAGATTGTGCCACTGCACTCCAGCCTGGCGACAGAGCAAGACTCCGTCTCAAAAAAAAAAAAAGCCTCCCTTAGGCAAAGCCATCCGTGAGAGCTGGGAGAGGCGACCTGAGGGAACATCCCGGCCTTATCTCTCCCCAGGCGAGGCCAGGCCTGTGGTTCACCCCTTAGGAGGCACAGACAGTGAGGACGCAGCAAGGGGAGAGGGGGCCCCAAAAGGAGAGTCTGCTCCTTCCCGGAACCTCTGCCATGGAGCCTGTGCCAGCTACCTGCAGGGCCTTTCTGCCAAAGGACCCGCAGACCCAGCCACCACCATGGCCAGCCTGGGGTTGGGTCATCAAGCCCAAACCCAAGCCCTCTGACCTCAGCAGCTCACGGCCAAGGTCGAGTTAGGATTCAGCTGAGTCAGTGGGACCACAGGAGGCAGGTGGGGAATTTCCTTTTATTATTTACCTTGTAGTTTCCATATTTTCCACAACTGGCTTTCCTTTTAGGAATAAAATAAACGTGATTTTATTTTAGAGCTGGGTGTGGAAATAGCAACGTTTAACCTGCAGGGAGAAGGCCTGAGATGCAGAGGAAGCCGAGCTGCGTCCACTGGCATCAAGGCCACGCCGGACGGCGTCCCAGCTTGTTCCGTGGCTGTGACAGACAGCGCTGTGGCCGGGCAGTGGACTGGCCACAGACGCTGATTTCTCACCGTGCTGTGTCAGCTGATTCGGTGTCTGCTGAGGGTTCACAGATAGCATGGGAAAGGGCCAGCCAGCTCTTGGGGCACTCTTTTATAAAAGGGCGTAAATTCCATTCCTGAGGGGTGCACCCCCATGATGCAGTCACTGCCCAAGTGATCCACTCCTAACACCGTCCACTTGGGGTCCAGCTTCAACATCACAGATGCTCAGCCACAGCATCCGGCCGCCACCAGGAGCCAGGAGAGGCAGGAAAGACCCCACAGCAGCTGCCAGAGGAGAGGAAGGACCCTGCAGCCTCCGGAAGGACAGGAAGGACCCTGCAGCCTCCGGAAGGACAGGAAGGACCCTGCAGCCTCCGGAAGGAGTGCAGCCCTGATGACCCATAATGTCTGCCTCTGGCCCTCAGAGCTGTGAGATGAGCATCTGCTGAGGCCCATCTGGGATCGTCTGTTTTGGTCGCCTAAGGAAGCACACACAAGCGCCACTGAGTGATGATCGTCATCCTAATCCTCATCCTGACACCTGCTGGCCCTGACCCTGCCTTTCTGCAGCCCCCCACCCCCACCCGGGGCTGTTCAGGAGCCCCTCCCACAGCAAGCCCTGCGCGGCCTTCCTTGTCATCAATAACCCCTAGTGCCCCATCTGCAGAGAGGGCCACAGGCACAAAAAGCCTCTCGGGCTGGGTGCGGTGGCTCATGCCTGTCATCCCTGCACTTTGGGAGGCCGAGGCGGACGGATCACAAGGTCAGGAGTTTGAGACCAGCCTGGCCAACATGATGAAATCCCATCTTTACTGAAAATACAAAAAAATAGCTGGGCGTGGTGGCAGCTGCCTGTAATCCCAGCTGCTCGGGAGGCTGAGGCGGGAGAATTGCTTGAACCTGGGAGGTGGAGGTTGCAGTGAGCTGAGATCATGCCACAGCACTCCAGCCTGGGCAACAGAGCAGGACTCCGTCTCAAAAAGAAAAGCCTCGTGACCCACCAGGTCACAGAGCCGCCAAGTCCCCAAGCAGACCGGCAACGAGAGCCTCCCACGAAAGGCCTCCCAGCTCATCCCTGGGCAGCAATCCTGGGAGCCGCGTGGCTGGGAGACGCCGCAGAGCCGGGCACTGGGGACCAGGAGACGGAAGGGGAGGACAATGGGTATGGCTGCAGCACATCAGGTCCAAGGCACGGATGAGGACCCAGGTGGATGCCGGCAGAGAGCAGGGGCTGCCACTCGCGGAGCACATATGCTGGGCGCAAGCCAGAGGCAGCTGGCCTGTGGATGGGTGTGCGATGGTCAGTTCACACACCACCTTGACCTGGCGCAAACACGGTGTTTCTAGGAGGGTGCTCTGGAGGATGAGATGAGCCTTTGAATCGGTGAACTTGGATGAAAGCAGACTGCCCTCCTCAGCGGGCGGGCCTCATCCGCTCAGGGAAGGCCGGGCTAGACCAAGACTGACCGCCCCAGCAAAAAGGAGCCCTCCCGAATTTGGCCTTGGGCCCAAGCTGCCACGCCCACCTCTCCTTCAGCTTGTCAGCCTCACCCAGCAGATGCCAGAGGTGCCAGGCTCCACAGTCACGTGGGCCAGCTCCTTAAAATCTCTCTCTACACACTCTCACACACACACACTACACACCACACACACATTCACACTATGCGCTACGCACACACTACACACACAAACATACGCACTACACACACATTCACACACAACACACTATACACAAACACAACACATTAACACACACTACACATACTACACACACCACACACTCAGTACACACAAACAGTACACACAAGCACACTATACACACACTACACACAAACACCCACTACAAACACTACACACACTACATACACTACACATACATACATTCACACAAAAACACTATACACACTACATGTTCACTGACACAAGCATGTACACTACACACATGCTCACACTACACACACTACACAAACACACCTGTATAGCACAAACATACACAAACACACCCAAACTGCACACACACACACAGTACACACACATTACACACACACTACACACACCACATTCACACACACTACACATACCGCACACACACCACTTTACACACAAACACACTACACATTCACAGGTGCTACACACACTACACACTCATGCACGCTACACACAAATGCACACTACACACACTGCATACATACTACACACACAAACACATTACACATTAAAACAAACTACACATACTCAAGCACACATACACACAGTGCACACACGTGGACATGCACACACACACACACGCACACATCCTGTCAGGCTGCTTCTCTGGGGAGCCCTGGCCAGGACAGCACAGGCACCCGAAGGGCGGGGCTAGAGCCAGGCGGGGAGTGAGGCTCAGACTTAGCGGGGACCAGGCCTCCCTCGTGCACCCCAGGGATGTTTCGGAAGGGCCCACTGCACCAAGAGATGGGGACAAGGAGGCCGTGGCCTGAGACGCTCCAGGAACAGCAGGAGAGGGTGTGGGAGGAGAAGGTCACCAGGAGAGCTCCTCAGTGGGTGCTCTCCGTGCGTGTGGCCAGCGACCAAGGCCACAGAAGGGACCCTACCTGAGGAACTCAAAAGAAAGGGGCAGAGAGGGTCTGCTGGGTCTCCGCTGGGATGAACCTTCCTCCAGGAAGCCTCCCCTGACCGCCCTGTCTGTCACTGTATTCCCAGTGCCAGCACAGGGCCTGGTGTGGGGCCAGGGTCCCAAATGACCCAAGAGAGGCCACAGGGGGCCAGGGTGCCAATCAGAGGCACTGTCTGGGCTGATGCCTTTCCCTTTCCCCCTCCAGCTACCAAGGGAGGAAGGCGGGCTCCTCCACCCACTCATGTGTGAACTGGAGAGGGAGGAAGGAGGCGGTGCTGGCCTCCTCTAGCTTGAGCCCAAGCTCCAGTGGCACTGGGGGACACTCAAGGTCACAGCCTGGGGTGGACGGAGCCCTTTACTGCATTGGAAAAGCAGATGAGGAACCATTGCCTCTTTAGAAAATAGTAACTGGGCCAGGTGTGGAGGCCCACAACTAATCCCAACACTGTAGGAGGCTGAGGTGGGAGGGTCACTGGAACACAGGAGGTTGAGAGTTTG